AAACACTATATTCCAATAAAGGAAAACAATCTTCAAATAGATGACCTGTTAAATAGGAGGAACCAATTCTTCCGCTAATATAAACCCTTTAAAGATAGCATTTAAGCAATTTACAGATACTGAGAATCTTTGCTCCAGAATAAACAGCACTGATAATAACCTTTACACTTTTTCTACTCGCTCCTTGTTCACAGTTCATTCTGCATGCATCTTTCGTAATGACTGATACTAAAGTAATTAGCTCCTTGGGTAAGTGTGCAACAATCACAGGAACCCAGGGCTTTTCTCAGAAAATGAGGAAAAAGAAACTTGGGAGATAACTGCAAGTAAAGCTTTAAATAATCTCCTTCCTTCTATTAAAAATGAAAAAAAAAAAAGACTGTCCTTCATCCTGGGTACTTTGGAGTTGCGTACTTCCTCATGATAAAATCTGTTTATAAGATATATGAGGAAAGTAACTAGAAAATTATCTGTATCAAACTTAAGAAAGAATAAGTTTAAAGCATCACTGCTGAGAAGAATTATGTACCTCTCTAATTTTACCTTGTATGTGCGACATTAAGTTATGGGGGTGAAGAGTCACCGGGAGGCAAAGATTGCAGCTTCAGGGCAAACTTTATGGCCCGATGTCGTGTCTGCCTACAGATTAACCAGCAGCCCTGTGCTACAACACACAAAAAAGGATCAAACACAAAATCTATGGAAATAAAGGAAGAGCCCAAAAGGATGGAACATCCCTACCAAATAAAACTGATTCGTGACCTCTTGGTAACCAGCCCGGTGGTGTATGTACAGAGTAGGGTCCAGTGATGTGGGCAGAGCCTACCATGAGATTTCCACCACCATGGGGCCAGTAACAGGAGAAAATGAGTCTTATTGTCTCATCAGTACTGATTTTAGGAACTGTTCCTAAACTATAAAGCTAAAGCTGATTACAGCGATGTACATGAGTGACTAGCTGAAACTGAGTCATCACTTCAGGTTTAATCTGGTTTCTAAACAATTTTTAAAACTTGTAAACACTTAGGGAAAATATCACTAAGTGCCAGTAGCTAGCCATAGGAGAATTTATTTAATTACTTCTTTGGCTCTAAAACTTCATTTTTCTGTGCCTCTGATTATTCATCAATAAAATAGGTATATCAATAAAATAAGGTATATTTCTTATTGTACAGAACGTTTGGTACCTTTAAAGGACTTTGAGAGCCTCATATGAGAGATATTAAATATATATATTCATTCATACCATAATTAATAATATTCAATTTGCTTTCATCTATACAAAAAGTGTACCTTTGTCACTACAATACTGAGCATAACATCAACAACACCTGCAATGGTTATTATACGCTGAAGGTTTTACCACTTGGAGCTCCTCCACAGGTTCTTTTCTTGATAACACCACTAATGTACACTCCTTCCTCTTACTAACTATATAGTTTCCTTTTAAATTTTGTTAGATGTCTTTGTTAAGTAAAAATATCACTCAGCTGGCTTTAAGGCACTGAAAATGTAACTGATTCAAGGACCTGCTTCAGGATTCTGCAATATGGGTCAGCCTGCTTTGCTGAATTTCACCTAATGAACCTGCATGAGATCAGCAATAAAAGTACTACATTAACATTGCAGTTGTACTTTCACTAACATGATAACTCTTATCCATGTAAGTTCATTCAGGATGGAGCTTCAAAGTCTAACATCACCTTTTAGAGGATTTTGCTGTCAGCACATATCTTATGTCCTCAAATCACCCTAAGGACGTGTCTGCACTACCAGTAAACCGCAAGCCAGGGCTTATTCTCAACACCAGATTCACCCATTCATTCCTCAGTGCAGCCATTAGGCCCGTGCTAAAAAGGGGATCAGAGCTTTTCAATGCAGAAGGTCTAAGTATATACGCTCAAAAGTCTGGGCACTGCTCAGGCCAAGTGCACAGCAACCCATCTCCAGCCGATTTCGTAAGCTCAGGCCTAAGCAACACACAGTAGATGCTCCTTGCATACACAGCAGTTGCAATACAGTGAGCTCTGTAAATGCTGTGAGGTTTAGGCTGACTTCATCTCTCAGCATAGCTCATGAAAAACCTAAGTTCAGTGATTTCATGTCTCTCAACTTTTAAGTTAGTTACAACAATGAAGAAAGATCAAAGATAGATTATTTTCACTAAATAGTCAGCCTCCATCCTTGAAGATATTTAAAACCCAACGGGATACGGTCCCGGGCAGCCTGCCGTAGCTGACCCTCAGTTGGATCAGATGATCTCCTGAGGTCCCTTCCAACCTCAACTATGCTTTAATTCATGTAACTGTAAGTGTGGCACCTCAAAGCATTTTTCCTGCCTCACCTGCTGCCTGAAGATATATGATCAAGAAGCGGATTGATTACAGTTTGACATGTTACCACATATTAGCTGTGTCACAGTAGCCTGCAGCAAACATCAAGTCATCTGCTTAACTTACTCCACAGTGGATTACCTTAAATCACATTACTTTTCATTTGCTTCATACTAAGCACAGACAAACAGATATTGAACTCAGATTAGCAGATAAACTGATTTTGCCTCTGAACCTTTAGCAAGATGATTCCAATGAGTTTGGCACCTGAGACCAGCTGTTATGATCTGGGATATTAAGAGACGGCAACCACTCAGTCCCTATTCTCAGAGTAGGTCCCGGGAAATGCTGTTAATAAAACTCACAAAAGGCCCACAACTAAGCAAAACACATAAACAAACTCAGTCCCACTGAACGAATGACAAAGGTTTTCTCACATCTCACCTGCCATCTCATGCCGTCTCAACCAGATGGAAATGTTGGAATTAGTTTATGAAGAACAGAAGTTGGGTTTTTGGGGGGAGAAACGTATCTGCAAGATTACGTTGCTTTTGTTGCTGAGTGGTGTTTTGTGGTAGAGTGGTTGCTGCAGTCTTCCCATTGCCAGTAAACCTAAACAATTTGGTGCATGAAATAAAAATCATCGTCAATATTACAATCAGGAATACATCAGTGGCACAACATGCAAAAGCTACATTATTTTGTTGAAGCCTTAAAATACACTCAATCTTTGCCAAATGCTATGACAATTAAACAAAAATAACTTCCCAGAATCTGAAGTTACAATGGCAGCCGCTTATCTGAATGCAAACGAGAAATGAGACATGATATTTTGTCCCAAAGCAGTAAGGTTTTACACAGTAGTGCCTAAAACAATACATAAACAAATAATGATTTTGAAATTATATTATAAATAAACCCTAAGACTGTTAATCCTCTTGAAAAAGATAAGCCCTGCATGAGCAGCTCCCAGTGATTCCTCAAAGTGTAACTGGGATCATAGGCAAAACACTTTGGAACATGAACTAAGGGCAGTGAAAAACTGCTGTGTGAGAAAATATTGGTCTACAGATGCTTTCTTATGACTGCTTTAGTCTTGCTCTGCTTTAGCAGCATGCAATGCTATACTAAAAATTACCCTTAATCCTGTGTTTCTGACATGCATTTTTGAAATACTGGCATAATAATTGCAATCACATTCAATTTGTTGACCTCTCTTTCTGCTAAGATTTAGTTTGTGCATATCGCTCAGTTCTTAAGCAATCCCAGAAATCTCAAGCGCTCCTGAACTTCAGCATGACGCTGAAGTAGTGACCTATACTCGCCTTCCTAACTCCCGCCCGTCTGCGTTCCTCAATTTTTAACCAAAAGACCATGGCTGGGGCAGGAAATTGCAAAAAACTGGCGCCAGGTTCAGCTTTCTAGTGCGGCAGGTGCTCACGCACGGTAGACAAGGGCCTTGCCCGCTCTTTGTCAGGTAGCACGGCAATTCAGGCCCCAGAAACAAAAGCAGTAGCCCTGTAACAGCGTGCAGGCAGGTCGGCCTGGGCCAGCTGAATTTACCTCCGCAAAGCACATGCGTTTATGCCCCTGGCTTGGTGCCTCGGCGGCGGGGCGCCAGGCCCCACGCCGAGGGCGGGCGCCCTTTT